GCATTTTTAGAGGAGCGTTTTCTTCCAAATATTTCACCACTTTCTTCTTCTTCTCTGTGCCATCTTCCTTCGAAATGTTGACGATCGTGGCTTTATACAGATTCCTATCATTTGTAGTTTTTAGAATCGATTGCCTTTTTTTTCTTCTATCTCTCCGAATCTCTGTTCTGCCAAACATTTACAAATGCTCTGTAGTTAGATTGTGCATTCGTTTCCCCTCCCCCATTTCTTGCCCCCCATATGTCCCCTTCCATCAAGTCTTCTTTCTTCATCAGTGATCCCCCTAGGAATTTCAACTCTCTATTTCGGATTGTATGTACAGGGTGCGATGGATAAATTATCGTCTAGGTTACGCAAACAGGAAAATAACTCTGACATCTCATTTTTAGAGATATATTTACCAAAATTACCCGAAAATATCTTGAAATAATAAAGAGTAAAATTATTTAATAAAATGGCCATTGGCTTCAACTACGACTCCAGATTCTTCTGCAAATCTTCTGGACGGACTCTTTAGGGAATGCTGCCATAATACTTGCCTTCAGTTAATCTTTGGTGTTACAAGGAGAATTGTAGGTTTCTCGCTCAACTAAGCTCCACATATAATAAATGAGGTTACAGTCGGAGTTGTCAGGTGGCCAAATGTAAGGGGTGATGTGGATGCAGAAACTGTTTCTCCTGCGTGTGTGGCATGGTGCAGAATCATGTTGCCAGACAGAGTCTTCCAGCGACTCTTCTCTTGACCCAGGACAGCACAGCCTCCTCAAGGCGCTTGATGTAGGCCTCCGTATTTAGACTGGAGCACTGCTGGAAGATGAACGGAGGCATAACGTCGCATCGCTAGTGATCACTCCAAACAGATTTATAATCACCATTGGAATTATCCGACTCTTTCTGAATGCTCTGCACTGTCCTCAAACTGACACCCAAACACACTGAAATATTTGTATTGCAGCTTACGGCACGAATACCAAGCAGAACATCATGCCGTTTCCAAATTTCTGGAGGAAATAAATTGCGTCATGGTGTTCTTTTTTCTTACGGACGCTGCCCAACAGACCCTACTAAACTGTGCAATCTACAAAATAAAAACAAATTACCCATCGCACCCTCTGTGTATGTGTTCTTTTTGGTTATATTTTCTCAAAAAAACTTCATCATTTCTCATATGTTCCGTCCATGGTATTCCCAGTATCCTTCCGTAGAACCAAATTTTTTCACTGCCATATACGAAATGTGGTATTAAATAGCTGTTCAGTCTTCTTTACATCGTTCTACTTTTATTTTACATATGCTCTTTTATCTTTGGGGTCATGTACATCATGCCAGAAATATGAACGTTAGTATTTTATTCACCACACAGTTTTTCATTAGAAAATTGAATCTGTGTTACAAGCATATTATGCTCAGTATTATTTTTACATGATGTAACACTAATCCTTGGGTATTCTTGTAGATAGAGACAGAGATAGATAGCTTTGTTCGCTGTATTTCTATTTGAAATTACTCCAAATTCCCCTGAATATGATTGATATTCACTGCTGAATTATCTTCAAAAATCAATATTCGTTTTTTATAATGAATTATTTTATGATTAAGCCTTTATATATCTATCTATCTATCTATCTATCTATCTATCTATCTATCTATCTATCTATCTATCTATCTGTGAACAGAATCTATCTATCTATCTATCTATCTATCTATCTATCTATCTATCTATCTATCTATCTGTGAACAGAATCTATCTATCTATCTATCTATCTATCTATCTATCTATCTATCTGAGAACACAATCTATCTATCTATCTATCTATCTATCTATCTATCTATCTATCTATCTATCTATCTATCTGAACAGAATCTATCTATCTATCTATCTATCTATCTATCTATCTATCTGTGAACAGAATCTATCTATCTATCTATCTATCTATCTATCTATCTATCTATCTATCTATCTGAGAACACAATCTATCTATCTATCTATCTATCTATCTATCTATCTATCTATCTATCTGAGAACAGAATCTATCTATCTATCTATCTGAGAACAGAATCTATCTATCTGAGAACAGAATCTATGTATCTATCTATATATCTGAGAACAGAATTCATCTATCTGTGAATAGAATCAATATAACACACACACACACACACACACACACACACACACACACACATATATATATATATATATATATATATATATATATATATATATTATTGCGTGTGTAAAGAGAAAGAAAAAAAATCATACAGAAAAAAGTAACGTTCATTGGAAAAAAAAAAAGAAATGCATATCTTGAATGTCCATATTATTTGCATGATTTTCGAATATATCGAAAACAGTACAGCTTTTGGCACCAACATGTCTGTAAGTTCCAGATACGTAACCCCCCAACCTACTCTTTTCGCGCCACATTATAAGAACTACTTGATGCCAAATATTCTAGAGAACAACGCATTGTCATTAATATATCGGACTCGGATCAATAAGCAAAAAGTAGAAGAAATGAAACGTCAAACAAAAACAAATTTAACATAAAACCTAGACAAAAATTAGCTGAGAATTGGATGACGAAAGATGGCGCATCAGGAAATCTGAGGTAAATCAAGAATCTTACATGGAAAGAAGCCCGATATTACAGGTGTCCAGGTTTGGCAACATCTTGTTAACGTCTTATGGCCTGGAAGGTGAGACAACGATTTAGATAGATTTGTTTCGTATGTGCTTGTGTCGACCTCGCTTTGTGAATGGGTGTCTGAGAATATATGTATGTATGAAGAAAGAAAGAAAGCGAAACAAGGAGAGTGAGAGGGTGATGAATCTTGCTCAATAAAATATGAAACCTTTGGCGTAGGTAATCTTGACTAAAAAGGATGGTATATTATGATGCCTGATTCTGCTGTGGTGCCTTTGTGTCGGGGTTACAGGTGAAGCCCTAGGACGAAATTACTGAAGAGTTGATCAAGGAAAAAATATACATGTTGATCTAGGAAGATGTTGATTCAAGAAGGAGTAAAAAATAAATGAAAACACCTGTCTGTAATAAAAATGTAATCAATGAAATTTATGATGTTATGCGTATAAAAAAATTTAATCTTGCATAGTACAACAGGACCGGGGAACTTCAAGATGGTGTAATGCTTAACATGTTTGTCTTGCTAGATCCATTACGACTGAGTAGTGAGTTCAATCCTCACTGCGTCCAACATACTTTCAGCCTTGTGTCACCTCTAAGACTCCCTTAGTAAATAAGGGCACTTGGCCGTGGTGCATATATATATATATATATATATATATATATATATATATATATATATATATATATATATTATATTTATAATCCCCATATATATATATATATATATATATATATATATATATATATATATATATATATATATATATATATATATATCCCGACTGACGCCAATTCAGTCTGGTTTCGATCCTAGCTAGAGGCAACCGGACGCCTAGCGACACTGATGAGCTGTGATACAGCGAAACCGTCTCTCTGTGGAGGACAACACACACACACACACACAGAGGTCTTGGGGTACATTGCTTTCTGAAAATCCGATACAATGATGAAAGAACAGCGTATTTATGAGTGGAAGACAGATGAAGGACAATCAGCACGAGTACAGACTTTCTCTTTCATCTAATACGGAATGACAAGATGGCACCCAGACAGTCTGGTGATTCAGCATACCAAACTTCAGTGCAACGGTTGTCCTTCTCGCGTCTCAGCGTACGGATGAATAATTGCCATGCCTTGACATACGATATATTGTTATGGAGCTTATATTCAGAGCTGTCTTTCCCCAAGGTTCCTTGCCATATTATTTTTATATTATCTAACGCGAGAAGAGATTCATTCGCGCCATTCTCACGAATGTCAGTGCGAATTGAATGCACTAAACTCGGTCGTAATTTGAACTTGATCTTCCAATTTCTCGACCAGCACATCCGCACCTTCTTATTCCAAAATACGGAGTGAGCTAGCGCAATCCCATTACTACGACGGATCTAACGACGGTGTCTACCATAAAGTTTGACTCAGTTTCGAATCCTGCCGGCGAACGCATATTATTCATTAATAAGCTCTCTCGAATATTCAGGCCGATAGACGGAAATAATTAAATATACTGTTTAATAAACAAATGGAGCGTCTGCGTAAATATGGGTATCCACTAAAAATAAAGTTTAAGTAATAATAAAAATATATATCTCTGTCCTGCCAGAAAATTATTCTTGTCAGAATCCATCTTGGACATTTACAAATCTGTCATTCGTTCGTGCATTAAATATTGCTGCCATATCTAGACTGGTGCTCCTGTTATTCATCTACAGGTTCTTGGCAAAATCCAAAGAAGTATCTCTAATATAATCGACCCTGACTAGAGATTCAGACTTCGGTCACTTTCTCGCCGATGTGGCATGGTTTTACTGTTTTTTTAAAAATATTTTCATGGCAACAGCTCTAAGAATTTTTTTTATTTTTTACCTGAATCCAAAACTACATGATTTTAAGTGTGCTGCTAAATAGATATCTACGTCCCAATCCCTTTACTTTTGAAATAGCGAAATGCAACCGATATTTCTTCTCCAAGTTGTTATTTTTTTCTCGCACTTCCCGCCAGTGGATCTTCTTTCCATTTATTTACCTCTCCGATAAATATCTTCAAAAAATGCAAAATCAGTCGCCACTTTCTATATTCTATATTCCCCATATATATATATATATATATATATATATATATTTGTTCTTACTTCAATCCTCCCTATACTCAAGTCTTTTCTCTCACTTTCACTCTCTGTCCTCCCCACCTGTGTACTGGAGGCATTTCCCCTTTGCTTGGGCTGAAATGATCAAAAATATCATTCAAGAATGCCACACAAAATTGGAAAAAGAAAAAAAAAACTAGAGAAATTAAGGGCCAGAACATGTAGGGATCTTTACTGTTGAGAAATAATAACTGTATGTAACAGCATGAAACTTCGTCTATCTTCACCTTCATACTTCTTCCTGTATATTCAATCTTCTTCATCTATTTTCAACTTCATTCTTCTTCCCCTAGATTCTTTTTCAATCATCTTCCTCTACCTTCATCTTCATTCTTCTTCCTATATATTCTGCTTCATTCTTCTTCGTCTATCTTCCTCCTCTACATTCTCTCTCAATCATCTTCCTCTACCTACACCTTCGTAATTTTCGTACATCATCTCCTTCATTTTTTCTCTACCTTCTCCTTAAATCTCCTTCCTCTACCTTCACCTTAAATCTCCTACTTCTAACTTCACCTTCATTTTCCTTCCTCTGTCTTGAGCTTCATTCTCCTTCCTCTACCTTCACCTTCATTCTTCTTTAGCTACATTAAATCTCCTTCCTCTACCTTCTCCTTAAATCTCCTTCCTCTACCTTCACCTTCATTCTCCTTCCTCTACCTTCACCTTCATTCGCCTTCCTCTACCTTCACCTTCATTCTCCTTCCTCTACCTTCATCTTCATTCGCCTTCCTCTACCTTCACCTTCATTCTCCTTCCTCTACCTTCACCTTCATCCTCCTTCCTCTACCTTCATCTTCATCCGCCTTCCTCTACCTTCACCTTCATTCTCCTTCCTCTACCTTCACCTTCATTCGCCTTCCTCTACCTTCACCTTCATTCTCCTTCCTCTACCTTCACCTTCATCCTCCTTCCTCTACTTTCATCTTCATCCGCCTTCCTCTACCTTCACCTTCATTCTCCTTCCTCTACCTTCACCTTCATCCTCCTTCCTCTACCTTCACCTTCATTCTCCTTCCTCTACCTTCACCTTCATTCTCCTTCCTCTACCTTCACCTTCATCCTCCTTCCTCTACCTTCATCTTCATACGCCTTCCTCTACCTTCACCTTCATTCTCCTTCCTCTGCCTTCACCTTCATTCGCCTTCCTCTACCTTCACCTTCATTCGCCTTCCTCTACCTTCACCTTCATTCTCCTTCCTCTACCTTCACCTTCATCCTCCTTCCTCTACCTTCATCTTCATCCGCCTTCCTCTACCTTCACCTTCATTCTCCTTCCTCTACCTTCACCTTCATCCTCCTTCCTCTACCTTCACCTTCATCCTCCTTCCTCTACCTTCACCTTCATTCTCCTTCCTCTACCTTCACCTTCATCCTCCTTCCTCTACCTTCACCTTCATTCTCCTTCCTCTACCTTCACCTTCATCCTCCTTCCTCTACCTTCATCCTCCTTCCTCTACCTTCATCTTCATTCTCCTTCCTCTACCTTCATCTTCATTCTCCTTCCTCTACCTTCACCTTCATTCTCCTTCCTCTACCTTCACCTTCATTCTCCTTCCTCTACCTTCACCTTCATCCTCCTTCCTCTACCTTCACCTTCATTCCTTTCCTTTCCCTTCATTTCTCCCTCCTCTCCTTCATCCCTTTCATTCATCCTTCCTCTACCTTCACCTTCATTCATCCTCCTTCCTCTACCTTCACCTTCATTCTCCTTCCTCTTCACCTTCACCTTCACCTTCCTCCTTCCTCTACATCTTCATTCATTCCTTCCTCTACCTTCACCTTCATTCTCCTTTCCTCTACCTTCACCTTCATTCTCCTTCCTCTACCTTCATCTTCATTCCTTCCTTCCTCTACCTTCACCTTCATTCTCCTTCCTCTACCTTCACCTTCATCCTCCTTCCTCTACATCTTCATTCGCCTTCCTCTACCTTCACCTTCATTCTCCTTCCTCTACCTTCACCTTCATTCTCCTTCCTCTACCTTCACCTTCATTCTGCTTCCTCTACCTTCACCTTCATTCTCCTTCCTCTACCTTCACCTTCATCCTCCTTCCTCTACTTTCATCTTCATCCGCCTTCCTCTACCTTCACCTTCATTCTCCTTCCTCTACCTTCACCTTCATCCTCCTTCCTTACCTTCACCTTCATCTTCCTTTACCTTCATTCATCCTTCCTCCTACCTTCACCTTCATTCTCTTTCCTCTGCCTTCACCTTCATTCTCCTTCCTCTACCTTCACCTTCATTCATTCTTCTTCCTCTACCTTCACCTTCATTCTCCTTCCTCTACCTTCACCTTCATCCTCCTTCCTCTACCTTCATCTTCATCCTACCTTCATCTTCATCCTCCTTCCTCTACCTTCACCTTCATTCTCCTTCCTCTACCTTCACCTTCATTCTCCTTCCTCTACCTTCACCTTCATCCTCCTTCCTCTACCTTCACCTTCATTCTCCTTCCTCTACCTTCACCTTCATCCTCCTTCCTCTACCTTCACCTTCATCCTCCTTCCTCTACCTTCACCTTCATTCTCCTTCCTCTACCTTCACCTTCATTCTCATTCCTCTACCTTCACCTTCATCCTCCTTCCTCTACCTTCACCTTCATTCTCCTTCCTCTACCTTCACCTTCATCCTCCTTCCTCTACCTTCACCTTCATTCTCCTTCCTCTACCTTCTCCTTCATTCTCCTTCCTCTACCTTCACCTTCATCCTCCTTCCTCTACCTTCACCTTCATCCTCCTTCCTCTACCTTCACCTTCATTCTCTTTCCTCTACCTTCAATGTTCTTTCTCTATCTTCTTTTTCAATCTTCTTTCTCTACATTGTCCTTCAATCTTCTATTTTCTCCTTCATACTTCTTTCTCTGTCTTCTTTATATTCTTCTTCATCTTCTTATTTTATTTCTTGTTTCTTGTTTATTATTGTGCACCTTCTTCTACAGCTTCTTATTCTCATAATTACTATTATTAA